AAAAAAAATTATAATTTTTTTTTTTTTTTTTTTTTTTTTTTTACATAAATATGTAATAAAAATATAATTTTATATTAACTATAATTGATTTAAATATTAGTTTTTTAAATTAATAACCGTATATTATTTGAATATATATAATACATACATGTAAATTTTTTTTTTTCAAATAGTACATTGCTATTTATTTTTTAAATTTACTTTTTTCTTTTTCCTTTATATTTTTTAATTTTTTTTTTTTTTATGTATTAAAAATAATATTTTTAATAATTACAATTATAAAAATTTAACAGATAGATAATGTAGTTTGCTATAATATGTAAATTTTTTTTTAAATTATAATAATTTTTCTTTTACTTATCGAGATCTTTATTTTGTTTATTTTACTATACTTTTTTTTTATTGTCTTTATGCATATATCTAACAAAGAAGCTATTTATTTTATATATACATTTATATGTACAGTTAATTTTTTTGATATTTTATTGAATAATTAAAATGAAATTTTTTTTTTGTTTTATATAACTAAGAAAAAAAAAAAAATACATATATATATATATATGTATGTTTATATTTATAATAAAAATACATATATATATATATATGTATGTTTATATTTATAATGATTAATTTTCCTTTTTTTTAATATATAAGAAAATTACATGACAAATATAATTTATAATATAAAATAAAGAAGAAAAAATATTACTTTTTATATTTTTTTTTTTTTTTGTTTAATGGATAACAGAAAATTTTTAAGGATAGGAAAAAGTGTTGTTCATGGTCGCAAAGGGCCATTAAGAGGGGATATGGAAAATGATGAAGACGAAAAGAATAAAAAAAAAAATAATGATTCAAATAATATTATGAATATTAATAAAGATAATGAAATTGATAAAGAAATAAAAAATGAAAATAATAATTTAGATAAAACAATGAATGAAGATATTTTAAATAATCATTATAAACAGAATGACAATGAACATAGTAGTGGTGATATATTTGAGCAGTTACTTCAAAGAGAATTAGCAAAAGGAGCATTAGGAGGTGGCGTCGTAGAAAAAAATATAAATAAAGTAAAAGTAAATTCTGAAAAAATAGATAATTTGAATAAAAATGAAAAGATAGATGAAGAAATAGAAGATCTTTCTAATATAGATTTATGTGAAAGAATAAATAGTACATTAGTAAAGTATAGAATGCATGGTTACAATGAAATAATAAAATGTTTTACTGATAATAATATAAATAAAAAAATAGAAATAATTAATTCTTTATTTAAAGATGAAGAGTGCATATTAAAATATATATCAGATAGTAATTTAATATGTCAATTGAAGACAGCTGAGATAGTTGAAGAATATTTAAATGTAATAAAAGATATATTTTTTTATAATTTTAAAGAACAGTATGAAAATGAAGAAGCTTTAATAAATTCTTTTGTTAATGAATATAGAAATAAATTATATAATTTATATGCGAAAATGCACAGCGTTTTATGCGAAAAAATATTAACGAATGTAAAATCATTTGATAATGGATTTAATATAATAAGAAAAATAATAGAATACTGTTCTAATGATAAGATAACATTAAATATAATAACGATGTTATGTGAGCATCTAAATTTAATTTATATAAAAGCAAATAAGAACGTATCAAATATTAAAGGTGTTAAAATAAAAGTTATTTCCTCTGGTCTTTTATTATTTTATAAATTATTAAATTATTTCGGCCCTAATATAATATGTGTGAAAACAATAAATAAATATTGCTTGAAATTTAATGAAATGCTTGATAAAACTGTTAAAACTAATTTTTATTTACTGTATGTTGAAATACTTTCCTTAATTAAAAATAATGATTTTCAAAATAGCGTTTTAAGTGAATTAAATAGTCAACAAAAAAATTATATAACTAAAGAATTAAAAAAGGAAGAAAATAGAGAAAATATTACTTCTAAAAGGAATACTTATTTAATAAATCAGAGTAGCAATGATGAACAGAATGACAATTATCAAGACGCTTTTACAATAAATGAAAACAATTTAATGGAAGAAAATGATATTTTTAAAGAAATTTGCACAAAACAATGGGAGAGAAGGGTTTTAGAAGGTTGTATTGATAAAAGTAGCAATCATAACAATAATTCTTTAAGTAATGAAAATTTATTACCATGGAAAATAAAAGTAGAAGCAATTAATTTATTATATGATAAAATAAAGTCAAAATTTTCAATTAAAAAAACTACTTATGTGAATACTTTATTAAATATTATTTCGAAATTATTAAAAAATGAGTCAGCATTACCTGTTGTTGTATCAACTTTAAAATTATTACATATACTAATTGAAAAATTTGGAAAAGATATTTATAACACAGTTAAAACATTTTCTTTTATTTTGTGTTCAAAACTAAAGGATTCTAATAAACAAGTTTCTAATGCTTGTATGGAATGCTTAACTAAAGCTATTGCAATATATAATATTGATATATTTATTGATGATTTATCTAAAAATTTAAAGGATAAAAACAACAATACTAGAATGGTTACTCTTGATTTTCTATTGAGAATTTTTGATTATATTGATAAAAAAAATATAATATCTATTATTGAAATTACAAAACATTTATTAAATGATACTGTTGCTAATATTAAAAATACTGCCTTTAAAGTTTATTCATTAATTATTGCAAATTATGGTGAAAATGTACATTCCTCCTTTTTTAGTACTTTACCATCTAATAAGAAAAAGTCCATATTATCTTTATGTTCTACTGTTAATAAAAAAAGGAATAATAATAATAATGAAAATATGGATTCACTAAATTATAAAAATGATTCAGAATTATCAATTAAATCTTTCAAAGATAACAATCACGATGGTATTAATAATAATACAATAAATGATATGAGTGATAATTTAAGTTCTATTTTACCAGAAAATATAATAAATAATTTAGTATCTAATAATTATTCTTCTAAAATAGAAGCATTAAATATATTAAACGAGTGGTTGAAAATAAAAATGCATTTTACTACAATTAATTTAGAAAGTTTAATTAGTTTAATTAAGAAAAATTGTTATGATTTTAAGGGGAAGTATAATCAACTTAATAGCGTAATATATGATTTTTTTAATAATTTTATTGATTTGATGTATAATTTTAATATTAATAATATTAACAATCCACATTTTATAAATATTTTGAATACTCTTATGTGTTTATATATTGATAAAGTTACTGATAAAAAAGAAAATATAATTTGTAATAATTTTATAAATAAGTGTTTTAATTACTTTGATAATAATATAATTATTGATATTATTATAAAAAATAGCGATGCAAAAAATACAAAGAAGTGTGAAGAATGTATCAAAATATTGCAAAAAATATTTCTAACAAAAAATAGTAATTCTAATGTAAATGTAAAAAATCTTATATACTTTTTAAAAAAATTTGTTGATTCAAAAAATATTAATTTAAGAAACTCCTCTATTCTTATGTTACAAATTTTATGTAAAAATTTTGGAGATAAATATGTTTTATCTTATTTAGAAGGAATATCTGAAAATATAAGACAAACTATTAAATTAAAAGAGGATGCAGAAAGATTTATTTTAAAACAAGGGGTAAATTCTTCTTCTATACTAGCTAAAAATAATGACAAAAGTGTTATCAATTTAAATAATAACAATAAAATATATGATAAAATAAAAAAGCAAGATACATCAACACCAAAATATGAAGATGTGAATAAGGTAGAACCGTGGAAAAAAAAAAAATGTAGTAATAATGATAATACTTATTCTTTAAATAATAATATGAATGAACAGAAAAAGGAATTACATTGTTTTGAAAAAAGTAATACTTTAAAAACAGAAGAACCCTCAAAATTATCTAATATAGAAATTGATTATACGAATACTTATTTGAATTATAATAACTCAAATATCGTTCAGAATCAAGAAAATTTAACTAATGAGATAACAAAAGATAGCAAGTTAGAGAACATGAGTAGAACTAATGAAAAAGGATTAGAAGAAAGATTAAACTTAAAAAACAAAATAGAAGAGAATATAGAAATTGATGGAGATAAAGAAGAAGATGAGGAAGAAGAGAGGATGATAAACATAAGTGAAATAATAAAGGAGTATGTAAATAACATTTTGAATGAAAGTAATAATAATACCAATAACGTAGCAAATAATACGTCAAAAATTATAAATATCATTGAAAAAATAGGAAAATATTATATTAACCCTGATAAATTAGATTTATTAATAAATAATATAGCTTTAAATAAAATATATAATGGTAATAAAAGTAGATGCATACGATTATTATATGTTCTTATATTTTCATTAAGAGAAAATGTTTACATATATGCAGACATTTTATTTGAATTTATAATAAGCATGATTGATGATATGGAAATATCTAATGAACACATTGATAAACTTTTAACATGTTTATGTAGAAATTTAGGAATTTCTAAATATATAAGTTATATCAATAATTATATATTAAATGAAAAATTAAATAACATAAAAGAAGATAATAAAAATATAAAGAAAATTAATAAAAGAAATAAAATATTAATTATTATAAATAATATTAACATAAATCATATATTATTATTGAATGAAAATGTTATAAAAAAAAAAATTCTCAAATTTTATTTGGATTTATTTTTTGATGATAATGAGCAAGTAAGAGAAAAATCTAGTATTGTTTTAGATAATATTTACTCTAAATATGGTGGAGCTGTTTTTTTTTCTATATATGAAAAATTATCAGTACATAAAAAGGAATGTTTACATGATATTTTAAATCAAATGAAATCCAAAAAAGAGGAATTTTCTTTTTATAAAATTTTTTTATCAAATAATTCACAGCTAAAAAGAATTTCTGTAAATGAAAGTAACCTTAGTGTTACAACGCCAACAATAATAAAATCAAAAAGCGTAAAGAGGTTAAGTTCTTTTAACAAAAACAAAATTATGAAAATAGAATTTCCTCCATATTATAAAATCAAACCAGATAAATTAAAATGGGATAAAAATTTTGATCAATCTCATTCAAATTATTTAATGAAAGAATTTAAATCTTTTACGAGTAATGAATTATTATTACATATGTTTAGTGAAAATGCAAATATGATTAATAGGTAATAATATATTTAAAAAAAAAAAAAAAGAAAAATGTCTTATATATACTACATAAAATTGTATGCATTTTTATATCCTATATATATTATTTATATCTTTTAATATTTTTCTCTATCTCTCTCTCTTTCTCAATATATATATATATATATAATTATAATAAATGTTTCCTTATTTTTTAGGAGTATATTATTTTTTAAAGATTATCTTAGTAATAGTTCCAATCAATCAATACTTTTTTCAAAATCTGGTTTTCTTGATTTATTACTTAAATGGATCATTTTTGCTTTAAATGAAAATCAGGATAATAATGAGTTATTATGTGCTTCAACAAATTTAATAAGAATTGTATTAAAAACAATTGAAGATAATTACGTTTTCTTAAATGAGCAAGAATTAGTTATATTATTAAATTTTATATTTGACAAAATTAATATATCATCATCAGAAATAAGAAGTAATTTTTTTTTTTTTTTTTTTTTTTTTTTTTTGCCATTTAAATATTGTGTATCTTTTATTTATCTTTTTAATTATAATTGTATTTATTTTTTTTTAATTTATATTCTTTTAGAAAAATTAAAGGAAATACTTATGTGCTTATGTTATACATCGGATTATAAGTTATATTTTTCTCTCCTTTTAAAAAATTTATCATCGTGTGATCAAAAGTAAGAAATGAAAAAAGAAAATTTACGAAAATTTATTTGTAAATATATAATGAATATATATGTATATATTTTTAGGAGGATGTGTGATTCACTAGATATTATATTGAAACTAATTATTTTATATAAAGATAAATGTTTAAATCTTGAAAAAGATATAATGAAAATTCTTCAAGTTTTCACATTATATAGCAAAAACAAGAATATAACCATATATTGTTTAAAAATATTTGCAAATATTCAAACTTTTCGTCCTAATTTTTATAAGTAACTTTTTTTTTTTTTTTTAAAAATAAAATAAAACAATAAGCATTATATATTTTTATTATTTAAGTAATTTAATTAATTATATATATTTATTTCATTTTTAGATGCATAGAAAATGATGAAATATCTTATTATCTAAAATGCAAAGTGGATGAATTTATTGAAAAATGTCCTGATTATAATATTAGTTTTAAAGACAATGAGAGTATATTATAAAAAAAAAAAAAAATATTTAATTTTAATAATAAAGATATAAATACATTAGATAAAAATAAAATATATATATATATAATAATAAATATATTTATATGAATTACACTTAATTATGTGAATTTTTTAGATGATGAAAATGATAGTTCATATCAAAGTGAAAACAGTGAAGGTAAAAAAAAAAAAAAAAAAACAGAAAAATATTATATATATCATAGTTGTACATTTTTATTATGCAATTTTTAAAAATAAATTTTATGCATTATTACAGCAATGGTTAAAAAAAAAAAAAAAAAATTATGTAGATGTTGAGTTTATTCTTAAATTTATATACTTAGTCAATTATTACTTTTAATATAGGAATAAATATTTTTGAATATTTATTATGCATATTATATATATAGATATATATATATATATTTTTTTTTTTTTTTTTTCTTTTTTTTTATAAAGAATCTTAATTTAGTTTTTCATTTAGATTTATGTTTATAATTATTTTTAATTTATATGATTATATACTTATATATGAAAATATTGTAGATACTTTTTATTTTTTTTTTTTTTTTTTTTTTTTTTTTTTTTTTTTTTGCAACCACTGCTGTTTGTATAACTTCGTATATCCTTATATACATAATAATTAAAATAAATTTCTATTATGTTTTTTTTTTTAAAAAAATTGCTTTTACTAATATCTTTTTTTTTTTTTTTTTTTTAATTTAAAATTT